CATCATTTTATCACAGATCAATCTTGCACGCCGGCCCCGGGTTCCATTCGTCGAATATTGAAAATGAGAAAACCTGGTATTTTGGCCGCGCTCCGCCAACCTGTCTGCACGTGACGCAGAGAGGGGACTACTTAAAGGCGGATTAACGCTGGCAAGACATTAAATCCAACCTCCTTCCATCCAGACACAGTGCGCGACCAATCAGTCTAATCTTAAAATCGAAAATAGGAGGGTTTATAGTAATCAGCCTTTCGGACTCCCCAAGACAACGAGAAAGCGATAGTGTCGCGCGAGCGCTCGGGCAGACGCACAGAACACTATTGCACGACGCGCGAGAGAAGAGGGCAGGACAGCTGCGGGCTCGTGATCAATGCATTTGTCAGATAACCTCGGAGCCTCTGGAGAGTGACAACGACCAAAAACCCGAGGAAATATTTTCCACATATTCGGCAGGAGTTCGTGCAGAGTGCCGTGGACTCTCGCCTCCTCCGGATGAACAACAATGGGGGAATGGACCATACTAGAGAGGCTCCTGGAGGCTGCTGTCCAGCAGCACTCTACTATGATAGGAAGGTAAGGGCAAAATGTAAACTGTATTTGCAATAACTACAGATTTGCCTGTTTTAATGGCTGTTGTTGGGGATAGATGGGTCGCTGTGCCATGTACTAACTGAGAAGCAGAGACCTGCTCCACTTACATTACCAAACAAACGATGGCAAAACATTTAAAAACACAAATACAGATGAATGCCAATTAGTAAATACTTTAGAGTACACAAAATATACAACAATGGCGTACTGACACAAATGACAACAAAACATAATACACATAGCATCCCAACCTCCAGCAAAGCGTGATCCCAGGCAAAGAGCGTTCGCTTTCAGCACTGGACAGCTCCCAAACACACGCCTGTTTAGAGCGCCACTGTACATAATTTACAGACTTTATATTCATACATTGTTTGTTTGTTTGTTTGTTTTTTAGGATCCTACTAACTGTGGTGGTGATCTTCCGGATTCTAATCGTAGCAATAGTTGGAGAGACGGTCTATGATGACGAGCAAACCATGTTTGTTTGTAATACCTTACAACCTGGTTGCAACCAGGCTTGCTACGACAAGGCATTCCCAATTTCACACATTAGATTTTGGGTTTTCCAGATCATAATGGTTTGCACCCCGAGTCTTTGTTTTATCACATACTCGGTGCATCAGTCAGCGAAACAGAAGGAGCGACGGTACTCCACCGTCTTTCTGTCCCTGGATAAGGATCAAGATTCAATGAAACGAGATGACAGCAAAAATATTAAAAACACCATTGTGAATGGAGTACTTCAGAACACAGAGAACTCCACGAAAGAAGCCGAACCCGACTGTTTGGAAGTCAAAGAGATCCCCAATTCAGCCATGAGAACTACTGGGAAGTCTAAAAAGAGTCGGCAAGAGGGTATCTCGAGATTTTACATAATTCAAGTGGTTTTCAGAAACGCGCTGGAAATAGGGTTTTTAGTGGGTCAATATTTCTTGTATGGATTCAACGTCCCGTCGGTGTACGAATGTGATCGATACCCATGCATAAAAGATGTCGAGTGCTATGTTTCCAGACCAACAGAGAAGACGGTGTTTCTAGTCTTCATGTTCGCGGTCAGTGGCTTTTGTGTGTTGCTGAATCTGGCAGAACTCAATCATTTGGGGTGGAAGAAAATTAAAACGGCCGTGCGAGGAGTGCAGGCGAGGCGGAAGTCCATTTATGAAATCAGAAATAAGGACTTGCCCCGAATGAGTGTGCCTAATTTCGGTCGTACTCAATCCAGTGACTCTGCTTATGTGTAGCACATGGAGAGAGTTACCGAAGGGACAATGTGCGATGTGGAAAGATTGAACCAAGATAAACCCGGGATGGACAGCTCCTCACGCCACATCCGTTTCATGATTTACAAGAGTGGGCAGATTTTTTATTTGTTTGTCTTTTAAGGACTCCAATGGCAAGCGTGGATTCCACGTTTGTTAACTTATTTATTACATTGCACTGATTCAACTTTGTAGTAACGTTTATACTCTGTAAAGCGCTAAATAGAGATCATGTCGATGTGTTCACGCATTTACTCTTTGTGGGCTGATCTACTGTACTTGAAGAGTGTAAATGCAAATTGCACTAAAAGGTGAACACCGGGGAGCCAAACCTAACCCGATACGTGCTACTGACAGTGTTTTAAAAACAGTTTCCAACCGATTTTTGACACCAACCTATTTAAGCGACACAATGCACCGCTCAACTATGTGTTCGAAGGGAAATCTATTCTCCAGATTTATATAGGCATATGCCTATCTCCATATTTATATAGGAATATGGATAAATATATAAATACATTTTGGCTATAGATTGACCTAGTTGAAATACATTAGCATCATTCATGTTTTTTGTTGCCTGTGTTCGCACCACTGACCTTAACGTATGTAATCATTCCATTGCTATATAGCTGACTTGCAAAACAGTATCTGGTGGATTTGCTGCAAACGCTAACGTCTGTGACTTCCTTAATTTATAATACACCAAAGCGCCCACTGCTTTCATTTGCTTTCGTGTAATCAAGTGCCATACTTGTACATAAACATATATATATGTATACATATAAATATATAATATTATTCATCATGAAAGCTAATTCCCTGCTTGAATTATGCTAAATGCCGCCCAATTTTTTGCTTTAACTGTATTTGTTGTGACTTAAATGGAAAGGATATATTACATTTTTCTCTATCTCTCTTTTTACTTAGAAAATGACTGGAAAATAAATAAAGTGCTAGTCTTTTTTATATACTGGAAGAAAACGTTTCTCCACAATCACAATTGATCTCAACTCAAAATAGCACAAATTGACCTTTTTAACAAACTAAGGATGGGCAATAAGTATCTGCTCTGGTGCTACAGTTTTTCACAGAATGGTTTTCAATGTAACCAAAATAAACCAGAAAAAATACCCTTTTCTGTCGACAATAAAAGTGGGAATCATGTACACCAGAAACGTGTGAGGTGCAATACTTTTATGTCTGAAAGCTGAACTGGAATGTTAGAATGTTAGATCCTATAGCTGCCCTGGCTAGACCATGGCTTGGTTCAGTGAAAATGACAATGTTTGCCACACCCATAAGCCTATGTTGTTCCATCCAATGAGAAAACCCCTATGAGCGCTTCCTTTGATGCTATCAGTATCTGTTACCATGTGGGTGTGCTGTAATGCATTTAAATGGGGATGATGTGTCCATGACAAACATGAATACTGCATGTCCCATTACAGTGTGACCTGGGAAGCCCTAACGTGAAATGCATTCTAATATCCATGTACTGTCCCTTCCCAGTCTTAGCTGACCTGACCGTGACTATTCACATGGCTGCTATACTGTTACTGACCTTCTGACCATGACCAGGAAGCTATTAGACAGACACACTGCACAGAACATGGGATGATTAAGACCTGATCTTCGTCGATAGAGGACTTGGCCTTTTTTGTCCTCCACTCATCCCTTCTTCACTCATTTCGAGGAAGAGAGCGGCTCCGGGCCAAAGGGAAGGTCGTGTGAGCCTCATGAAGGTCACTAAGAAAAATGGAAAGAGAAAAAAGATCAAGTACTAACTGTATGAGAGAGAGAGAGAGGAGAGAGAGAGAGAGAGAGAGAGAGAGAGAGAGAGAGAGAGAGAGAGAGAGCAGAGAGAAAGAGAGAGAAAGAGGAGAGAGAGAGAGGATTAGGAGGCTAGATTCTGCCTCTGCCAGGATGACTCGGCAAAGCCCAGAGAAATCGAAGAGTTGTGCACACTGACACATCCATCTCAAACTCAGCAGGGATGTGAAAATTCTCCCTAACTCGAGAACTCTGGAGAAAAAAAAACTGGAAAAGTGCAATTTGTCTACTTGGACTGAAACATTGCAATGGCTCACATTCTCTTTTTTCTTTCTCTCTTCATCTCTCTCTCTCTCTCTCTCTCTATTTGTCTCTTCCTTCCCTCTCTCACGTTTATTTTTGACTGACCAAATTACTGTACAGGCCATCCTGTTCTATAAGATTGTCTCCAACGCTTGTAATGTCATAGGTGTTCTTTCACTGAGAACTCCTAGTTATACAAGGCTGTTGTGTAAGGGATCCTACAAAGACTATATTTTCACTGTACATTACTGTATATTTACTGTAAATTTACTGTACATTTACTAAAGGGCCACTTGCTCTAATGCTGTGCTAGTGGTTTCCCTGCAATATTCATCCTGTTATTTTCACGGCTACTTCTAAATGCCAAAATAATTGGGTTATGTATGAATGCAATTATGCATGCTGTGTTGCATTTTCCATCATGTGAGCGTTGGAAGGCTTGGTTTAATATTACATGGTACCTGTACAGCTCTTCATTTCCTTTGTGCTCAGTTCATGACAGCCGGGCTAAAAAGGAAGAGGGCTTTTGACCAGAGAGATAGCTGGAGCTAGCGACAGATGTAAGCAACTCTCCCAGTTCTGCTTTACAGCCTCCCGAACAAGCTAAACCAAAACGAAAGAGAGATCAAATTAATTCGGGTTCTCTGGCATTTATCTTGTGCTCGCTTTGGCCCCCACTCTTGACAACAGTAGATAAATCTGAGCAAGTACTGCAGCTATTCCAAGGATCCAAGACAAATGCTCAGGAAAACCACACATTTCAGCTGATTACAGGTGCTTAAAGATACAGGGAGGTAGTTTTACAGGATCATTTTAGCCCTTAATCTCTTTCATGTATCGCTGAGTCTCTTCTGGAGAAACACCCCTCGATTAGAGAGAATCTTCTCCCTGGGACTGTTATGGTCTGGAAGAGATGAGAGGTGGGCAGTGTCCTGTCCTCATTAAAGAAAAGCTATTTTTATTACCATCCACTACTGCTTCAGTGTAATTTCATCCTTCCTGTTAAACACCTTAACAAGGGCCTTGCTGATAAAAAAAAAAAATGCACTGGTTACCATCAAAAATCACTAATACCATTTTTCTCAACAAACCAAACCAAGCCTCCAACCCTTGACATTTTTTATTTAACATGCGCTGGTTCAGTATATGTACTGTTAGCGGAATGCCTTCGAAAGACATGCTGTGAATTAAATCCACTTTCTCACCAAGATGGGAATATATTTGTTAAGGGTGTGCTGTCATTTTTTTCTGTTGTGTTTTGACTCCTTCCTATCCTTCTTTCCTGTACAGGAGGAGTTCATCTTTAAGACAGCCATATAGAACAAACTCAGAGCTGCTTATTTTTCAAATGCTGAGTCTTTATTTTCTCCACTTGCTGTCTAGAAATATGAAGTCAAGTGCTACACCCAAAGAAGATTTTTCTGTGGAAGAAAATCCAAACAACCTCAACAGTGTAGTACACGGTCTCAGTACTGATATTGTGCAAAAGCCCCCTCACACCTTATCATCAGGAGCACAGCTCTAAATTCTCCTATACACTAGAACAGTGGGAAAGGCCAACACATTGAAGTCAAATAAAACATAGCTTCTTGCTATGAATATTGTGTGTGCATAACTATGTACTTCACATTTAAAAGGATAAGATGGTCCAAGACAATCACATATAATTATATTTAACTATAATGTAATACATTATTTAATTACCACTGCTTATAATTGACTAATGCATTCATGCATTATGCATTCATAAGCCCATTACTAAAGAAAGCATTCCTCCATCACCCTGGCTTAATCCAATGACAGTTTAGTTCCAGGTCATAGTCCATTGACAAGACCACTGGGATACGGTGGTTTACAGAGTGGGATGCTAGCAGTGTATTATTTCTGGTTGGTGAGCGAGGCCCATGAGAGAAAACGATTTATCAGCTATACTGGATGCACTGTGCACCCATAAATGTTACTACGTGAGGTAACGTAACCCTGGTGCTCTCTCAAAATAGAATAACTCTTACAGACACAATATACTGTAATCATAGGTCTGGACTTTGAGAAAGGGATATTCAGTAACAATTTACTTATTATCGAGCAAGTCAACATGGCAACCTTTGTCAATGCCAAAGAAGAATTCCAAACAAGATTTAAACAGAGTTGAGAATTACTGACTTCCTCATCTTTTGCTATAGTGTTATCAAAATCCGTTGGTTGTTGTGGGCTCCCTAATGTAATAAACCTGGCTTTAAATAAGGTTAGTTTCCTGGCCAATTGGTTGACAAGCGAAGAACAAGCTCAAACTGGCAGCCGTGATGAATGTTGCTGGGCTGTAACGTCTTTATTTACGAGCTTCCATGGCTGCCTGCAATCTTACATCAGACAGAAACACACTCTTCCTCTGCCAAGAAGTTGGACAAGGCTGAACACAGAACAGTCTGAAATAATACTGAGACTCTGACTCAAAATCGGAGAAAATCATACCAGGTCAGAATCTACGATACATCTGTACTAATCTCTTTCTTTGTCTTTTACTTACATAACTATAAATCTGCAGGTAGATAAGCTCTAGAATATAAGGTATTTAAAATTTTAAAAATCGCTATGCACTTAGAAAATCTATTAATGTGCACTTTGCAGGTAAGGACTAAACAACAGTAATTCCCACCGTTCTATTAGTCAATAAGAGCACTTTGCTATGTCTGGCTTATGAATAGACAAAACATGTTAGATCACAACAGCAGTACTTTGACCTGAAAGCGAACCCCACTATCCCACAACCCCTCTGCACCGAGAACCATGTCCACCCATTTTCCCTTCTTTTAGCAATCTGAAAGGCTCGCTTCAGGGTAGTATAGCGCTTTAATTCTGCTTTTTGCACAGATTACTGCATGAAAGGGGGAAAGCAAACAGAAGAAAACACTGAAAGCGGGTATTTTAATCCAGTGAGCCAGAAGCTATGAAATGAACCTGGTTAACATAGCACATATGACATAGGCATGGCATAGGGAGATATGGCATCCATTGAAACAAATTTTTTTGTGTTCAGTGGAGGAGGATGTGAATATGCATTTACAGTACGACCAAGTTAGTTTGGCTCCTGGTTTGCCTCTCAGGAGGACCCAAGATGATGTGCTGTAACGTTAGTTACCTCCATCATACACAACACAACACAACACAAGCAATAGACACCAGTTCAGTTCCACCCCTGCTCTGCTCATCCCTGCTCCCTGGAGGAGATGGTTCATGTGAAGGGATATGTTTAACGCCATGCAGGCGGCCGGGGCCAGTGTGATCTAAGTGTAGCCAGCCTGTCCTCAGACAACTTCCTCCTGCCTAATGAAACGGTCCAGACATGGAGACAGACAAAGGGACATGGAGGCGGGACATGTGACAGCCAGGCCCAATATACATGTATTTGGTTAAGTGCGCAATGCTGACATGGCTACAGTAACAATCAGCACTGACAGGACAGAACCACGCAAGGTGCTGCCAGATTAATTTCTGAATCACATTTTTAATATCACTTTTGGATTATGAACACTGTGTGGATTATGATTAGATTTGCCACCCTGCGGTTGGTTCACTGTGGGACAGGCTGTTCCTTCACCAGGCAGACCAACGTTACGAACCAAAACTGATGCAATCATCCTCTGCTACCACAATGTCATGATCAGATAAAATTGTCATTGCAGGTTATATTCGTGAGAATCAAGAGAAATTCACATTATATTATTCTCCAGTAATGCCCTCAAGTCTCAGTGAACTAATACACTCTGAACTGAATATACAGCATGTACAGTGCATTCTGAAAGTATTCAGACCCCTTGACTCTTTCCACATTTTGTTAAGTTACAGCCTTATTCTAAAATGGATTAAATAGTTTTTTTTCCCCCTAATCAATCTACATGCAATACCCCATAATGACAAAGCAAAAACAGGTTTTTAGACGTTTTTGCAAATGTATTAAAAAATACAAAACTGAAATATCACAAGTATTCAGACCCTTTACTCAGTACTTTGTTGAAGCACCTTTGGCAGCGATTACAGCCTTGAGTCTTCTTGGGTATGACGCTACAAGCTTGGCACACCTGAGTGGCGCAGTGGTCTAAGGCACTGCATAACAGTGCTAACTGTGCCACTAGAGATCCTGGTTCGAATCCAGGCTCTGTCGCAGCCGGCCGCGACCGGGAGACTCATGGGCGGCGCACAATTGGCCCAGCGTCGTCCAGGGTAGGGGAGGGAATGGCCGGCAGGGATGTAGCTCAGTTGATAGAGCATGGCATTTGCAATGCCAGGGTTGTGGGTTCGATTCCCACGGGGGGCCAGTATAACAAAATATGTATTCACTAACTGTAAGTCGCTCTGGATAAGAGCGTCTGCTAAATGACTAAAATGTAATGTAAATGTATTTGGGGAGTTTCTCCCATTCTTCGCTGCAGATCTTCTCAAGCTCTGTCAGGTTGGATGGGGAGTGTTGCTGCATAGCTATTTTCAGGTCTCTCCAGAGATGTTTGATCAAGTTTAAGTCCGGGCTCTGGATGGGCCACTCAAGGACATTCAGAGACACTCCTGCGTTGTCTTGGCTGTGTGCTTAGGGTTGTTGTCCTGTTGGAAGGTGAACCTTCACCCCAGTCTCAGGTCCTGAGTGCTCTGGAGCAGGTTTTCATCAAGGATCTCTCTGTACTTTGCTCCATTCATCTTTCCCTCGATCCTGACTAGTCTCCCAGCCCCTGCCGCTGAAAAACATCCCCACAGCTTCATGCT